TAGTTTAAAAGTTATTAGATGCTTTCTTTAAGACTTGAAATTCACATTTAGACTAAACATTTAGAAAAAAAAAATGTACGAGATATCCAAGGTGAAAAATATTGTTATTTTCAGGGTGAGAATAAAACACACTTGATTATATATTGGTATACGTGATGAGATTATAATGAATTTATTTGTTTATTTCACATAGGGTCATTGTAAATCAAAATTATCACAAAAATAAGGAATGTTTATTTGTAACGGCCAAGTGATATTCAATAACTGTGCCGCATTTCCCCAAATAAATTTTCTTTCTTTTCGTATAGAAAACACCGTGGACACGGTGAAGACTTCTGTGAAATCATTAAAGGTGGTCATGACGATGACCATGGAAATATCCTTGCACAATTTTACAAGTTATCCAACATTCTAAACTGTCGCCACTTTCGTGTAAAATGTATTTAGAATAGTAAAATAATTTCATTTATGTGTCACCTTACTGCAAATAGCAGGTATACGAAAGTGTATTAACATTCTAACCTTTTTTCTCCCTTCATATTCTGCTTAGAACATTTCACAAACAACTTTTTTTAATAAATTCCAACGGTATGAGAAAGCGATAACCGATGTGAAAATCTTATTAAATGTTCCCTTTTAAAAAATAAACTTACCGGCCACTCTCCTTTCTTGTCATTGAATGTTTACTTCCGTGTAGAACACAATATAAACAAACACGACGGTTGATGCTTACACTCTAGGAAAACCCCTCTCACTCATACACATAAAATTCTGAATTAGCATTTTACTCCAGCTTTAATAAGACACATCTGAATTTTTTTACCTTTAATTTTCATAATTCTGTACTTAAAATCCAATGTAACTATGGGGAGTAAAGTTTACTTATACCATCAAACTATTTTTCAAAATTGAATTTCAAACATAGATTTTACATTAATTTTTGAGATATTTTTCCTCATTCATTTTCATAAGATCATACCTTATCTTTCTCTCTGTCATTTAAATTAATTTCTAATTCAGTCAAAAACCAAATGTGACAGCTACATCTTCATAAGTTACAGACACAAAACATTAGTACATACATTTTTTAACAGAACTAATAGGCTATTGAAATTAAAAAAAAAGCTTATAAAGATAATTTTTGTCCTTCGAAAAGGACTACTGTATAAACGTGGGTCATAGGCCTTGGTTTTTAAAAGAAATCTAAAAGAAGCTCTTTGTTGTAGTGAAAGTAAGTGTTAAAAAAATCTTTCATCTTGAAGCGTGTAAATTTTTCATTATAATGTAACCTAATAGTCTAACTAGTATTAATTGTAACGGGGACCGTTACAGATGTTCCCCAAACGCTCCCCAACTCCCTTTTGGTGTCATTTCCTGTAAGCTTCATTAAATAAGGCAATTAAGTATATTGGTCATTTAACGCATTTCACGCGCGCGCACGTGCATGCATGCATGTGCAGGTTGACCATGTCATTCCGTCTATACTATAAATGCATCTTTATATTCTCAGTATCAAAACATTTCATCAAAAAATATATAAGTTCCGGCTATATCAAGTATATTGGTCATCTTAGCATTGCGCGCACGCGCACCTGTATGCATGTTCATAATGACCATGCCATTTTGTCTACACTTATAATATGTCTGTTCATTCTTAGTATCAAAGCTTTTCATCAAAAAATATAAAAGTTATGGCTATATTAAGTATATTGGTCATTAAACACATTGCACGCGCGCGCATGTGCATGCATGTGCATGATGGCCACATCATCTTGTCTACACTTTTAATATATCTGTATATTCTTAATATCAAAGCTTTTCATCAAAAAATATAAAAAGTACGGCTTTATTAAGTAAATTGGTCATTTAACAAATTGCACGCGCGCGCACGTGCATGCATATGCATGCATGTGCATGATGGTCATGTCGTCTTGTCTACACTTTAAATACATATAAATGTTTTGAGTATCAAAGCATTTCATCAAAAAGTTTCAAAATTACAACTATATCAAGTAAATTGGTCACGTGCATGCATGTGCATGTTGACCATGTCATCTTGTTCACACTTTTAATATATCCTTATATTCTGAGTATCAAAGCATTTTATCAAAAAATATAAAAGTTACAGCTATATCAAGTATATTTGTCATTTTACGCATTGCACGCGCACGCACGTGCATGCGCGTGCGCGCAAAATGACCTTCGTTCCGCAAATCTACATAACATGCCTAGTAACCCTAAAAAGGTTTCACCTCAATCGGATGTGTAGTTTCGGAGATCACTCACGGACAAAAAAGTACCCAGGAAGAAAAATAATAATAATAATAATAAGAAGAAGAAGAAACAGAGTAAAAACAATATGTTCCCAAACTTCGTTTGGGGAACATAATAACAAAAACTGTATAATGAAATATAGAAGCTCGTCCTGGATATCAATATTTGATCAAGGCTTCTATACTATACTGTGGTCTTGACCTTTAAATGGAGTCATCCATTTATGTTAGATATACAACATTTGAACGGTTTTGCTCGAGCTCGGATTTTAAAATATTACCTATATCTATTTAGTTTTTGAAGTCTGGGTTTTCCAACAATCTTTTGATATTCTCATGGGCACTAATTGTGCTCCATTATTAGCTGACATGTTTTTATAGTACTATGAAGAGAATTTATTCAAGATCTTCTTCATGAGAAGAAAACCCCTGTTGTGTTTTTCAACTCAACAATCAGATATATCGACGACGTTTTATCAAATAACAATATTTACTTTCATTCATATATCCACTCGATATATCCCAGTGAACTCGAAATAAAAGACACTATATAGAGTCAGCCACATCTGTTTCATATTTGAGTGTTTTGATGACTATTTTTCTTTAAAATAAACCTTTGATAAATCAATATAAATCAGGTTCACAACTTATATGCAAATTAGAGTTTACACTACTTGGAAAAATTCATTTTTGACAGGCAAGGGTTTCTTATTTGCTATTCTTCCACGAACCCTGGGGCATGTGAGGTGATGTGAGGAGAGTAGTGAATCAGAAACCCTTGGCAAGCTGAGAAAAATGCACTCTATCTAAATTGTCGGCAAATGACGAAAGTATGTTGTTGCTATTGTTTGCCTTTAAACAAAGCATTAAGGATGTATTCAATAGATGAAATGTGCTTGCATGAAAATGGGAACATATATATAACTAAAAGTAATTATAGTAACTCCTCAGAATACTCCTTTATTATTTATTTGGAAGATGACAATGCATAATTGATTGTTTTAACACAAAGTATTCTAGATAATTTATGTACTTTATGAAAATGTATGTATTAACATATATCAGTAAATATTTTGAATAGATATCTGTCCTTACATGCAAATCGAAATTTTAAGATCCATTATATACACATGTATACAGTTCAATATAATTACTCCTCTCGTTATCATAGTTGATTATATTAATTATAAATGCTCATCTCAAATACAGCAGACATTAAAAGAATAAGAAATGCGAGTCAAGTGTGGATGTTCTAAGCTAACAAGAATTTATTCTCCTTAATATTGTTGCTTCCCATGCCAGTTCATGTCATTCCAAAGTCAGCATTAACCTTAACGTCTTTCTTTGGTTTTTGGGATTACATGTTCCTACATATTAATATTTATCAATATATATCTGAATACAATGACCTCAGAAAAAAATGTCAATACTTGATTAAACAAAATGAATTTTATAAAAAGAAAAAAAATCGATAATAATTGTCACGAAATTATCAAAGATTTCCAATTATGAGGAGAGAATACCTTATAGGTTCGTTGATTTTTGTAAATTAAAATAATGGGTTTCAAGGAGACAGCGCAGCTATGTTAAGGCTTCCCGAAGCTTTAAAATGCGCTCCAAACATAATGTCATTGCGAGGTCGGTTTTGGTTTTAATTTATAAGTATTGAACTTTAGTACCTCCAATTTATATAAAGGGTTTCCTCGGCTATATATTAGCATATTTGTTATGATATCACATGACTTTGTTGATCACGTGACGGTCATTTATAATTTTTTGAAGTGTTTCATATAAATCGCTTCGGCGCAGCTGATTAACACAATAATTATTAACATTTTGTTATATAAATAAACTCATCGTATCCTTGTGTATCCGAAATGTGCTTGGGAAAAGTCATAGTATTACTTGGGTACAAAATATTTCCTGAGAAATTCAACTTACCTACAAATTTGAGGGTATTTTCCACACAATATCGTAATCTGTATTAAAACAAAGCCAACACACATTTTTCCCAAGCAAGATTCAGTTAGAGAACAACCTCTTCTTACAGATTTCCACAAAAATTCTCAGATTAATCCTCATTAATCACCTGCGCCAGACTCTTTTATACACACAAAATAAATTCTACCTCCAACCACGGTATAAAACAGAGTACATTTCAAAAGTATATTTTTCATAAGCATTTTGAACATGATGAATTTCAATCAAGGATATGTAAGCTGTGTATTTTTAAAATATTCGGACATATAAGACTTAAAAAACCTTTAACGACCCGTGAATTTTGCAATAGCTATCTAGCATTTTACATGCAGTTTGAAATAAAGTGTAAAGTTCATGACACTCTCCCCGTCATAACACCTCAAGTTTGCAGTGACCTGACGTCATTTTCCATTATGACGTCATATTTTGGTAGTTCAGAGATGTGAAGGCACAGAGTGCACTGTCATATTCTACGGGAAGCCTTAACCTACCTGCGAGATTACGGAATCCGATTAAATGCTTTGGGGATATGGACAAATTACTTGAATTGTTGGTAACAATTTGATTTTGAAAATTGGTATAGCATTTTCTTAAACAATAAATCCAAGCTATTGAATTTAGGGAACTTTTGTTTGCCTTATATTCTATTTAATGTACGTGAAATATGTTAGTTTTATGCTCTAAAATAGGAAAACAAAGAAAACAAGGAAAACCATAAATAATTGCTTTTTTAGTCATTTCTGTTCAATTTAATTCCTTAAATTTGTGGAACTGTTATTCAAAAGAATATCACATGTTATGTTCTGACATTTTCACTTGTCGTTTTGCAAGAACTTTCATCAGACACGTTAAATTCATAATAATGGCCAGCATTTCACCCATCAGAACGAATTACCATGGAATGATCGTAGGTACTTTCCTCTTCCTGTCTTTTAATACTCTGTGTGTTATCATAATCACAATCTCCTCTAACTACCACAAAGCTTGCATGATCATAGGTGTCTTCCTTTATTATTCCCCTGAATTCTGATTCTCCAAGATGATCATAGACTCCGTCCTCTTTATCAATATCGAGAGTGTTTGGTCTTAACTCTTTCGTAACCTCTAAATTCTCGGGGTTCTTCGACTGTGGTTCAAATGTAAAGTTTTCCTTGTTCCTTGTCTTGTCTACTTGTGCATATTGATTTGTATCATCCTGCTGTAGCTCCTTTATTTGGACAATATCTTCTTCGCCACATTTTCTCCGCCTTAAAATTATTTTTGTTAAAAATCAATTTTCATAATCAGAAAAGAACATGATGGAAGTAGCAAAATATAATACCCTAAGAAACGTACATTTAATTAAATTAGAGATACTTTTAGAATTAAATTTATACCAAATGAAATCATACCTGAGAATGATTATCATCACTAGTGTAACCATCAAAAGGATGGGAAGAATAACACTAATGGGTATTAGTATGTAGATATTTGGCTCTTTTTCTGTAACAAGAAAGCAGACGATTTTATTTCATATATATTTACCCTAATTTAAAGAAAAAATGTTTTAAACACATTTTAACAAATACATTTACACATAGATATGCCATGTGATATTTTTATGTTACGTTTCAAAATGCTCTGCTACAAAATATTTAGAAAACAAAGGTCCCTAGTGAAAGGGGAAGAAACGGTTGAGAAGGCGGAAAGTCATAATCATGATGCAAAAAATAAAGTTGGGAAGATTTTTTTCTTACTATATCAAACTTTGTGAATTGATTCTATACGATGATGTTCTTAGTATTAATACGGATTACAAAATTTTATATCTATTCAGACGACACATTAGATGTATTAATACTGCATGAATCCCAGTCTCTCTGGTATCTGGATTTTGAAACAAAAGAAGTCTTTTCTTATAAAAAAAACCAACTCTAGTCTTACGTACCAGAGCCCGTTCTGTGATATTCTTCATTCAATGAAACAATCATTGGATAACAGGAAATATATAAATTTAACAAATATATTGATGGACAACTGAAGGACAGAAGACATAGCATTTGACGCCAACACACACATGATTGATCAATGACTTTGGTTTTATTCCAACTAAAAATAAAATTATTTTCTTTCCTGCACTGAAAACACTGAATATTCTTAGTTTTGATGTTGAGACGAATTTTCACATTTAACAGAGACACCAATACAGCCAACCAAACACAATAATGTACAAAATATTCTAATGATAAAGATGGACTTCATATAATAAGATCAAACTTATAAGCTTCATTTTGTTATTATCAGAAATTAACGTGCATCAAACAGTTTTTAAAAAGGTGATAATAAATACATCGGAAAAAAAACAACAACTTTTCAATATGAAAGTAAACACACACATGTACCACAAAGTACCAAATCCATCTAGTGATTAATCAAGAATGAGTGGATTATGTTTGTGGTACGTCAAACAAAGCATGAAAAAGTAGAGCTTACCTCATTTTTCTGTAAGCTCAATATAAGTTCAAAGATATGTGTACAAAACGCCAAGTAATCATCGGAATGTTTAACTGGATTGATCAAAAGGCACAGTACTCTGAAGCATTATTTGTTGCGAAGTCCAAAAAAGTGACATATACACCTCCTCTTGCTTGTAGATTTTATATGTGACGAACATTACTCAACAGCAAACAAAATTCCTACATTCGCCTTATACAGATCCGATTAGGGTTTAAGGACAGATGAGACGTACCAAAAAATTGGATGCAATGATTTGTATATATTTTGGGACCTATTTTGGTTGCAAATGGTGCAAGTAATAAATTTCTAAAATATTTAGAAATTCTAAACTTTCTATGATGTTCAAAATTCTACATTTAGTCAACCATCCTTATTGATCTATATAATTTTTGTCACTTTAAATCCCAATATTGTGAAACTTTGAATGAACAATTAAAAACTATACTGTTAAACTTATTCATTTTATTTATATAAATATGAAATAATTTGTTATTTTCAAGAACTTTGATAAAAAGTTTGTTTGTATTTCAATAAATCATTTGTCCTTAAAAATGGGTTTTTCCGATTGCATGCTCCCCCCCCCCTCCCCCCCCCCCAGTAATGTTGGTATGTTGGTAGGTAGATGGTTTTTGGCCTTGTTAACTGGTTCAAGTTTTATTTACACATCATGAAACATTTTGTATTATCCAAGATAATCTTTAATGGCTTTCGTGTATTCGAAAACGTAAATTACCCAATGATACTATTATTTCGTACTTGGGTGAAATATACACACAAGGTTTTTTTTTTTTTTTTTTTTTTTTTTTTTTTTTTAATTTGAACACACATAGTATTCAGTATCGTAATCCTGCTTACTTTACTTAAAAACCCAATCCCTCCCTACCCAATAAAGGCAACATTGATTTGTTAATTGAATAGGTACTGCTCTGGTTCTTTTGCTTGTTTCTTTCTGAACATCATTATGTCCTACAATTTATTCCGCATTCCAATAGTTTATCGTGGCATCCTTAAAGTACTTATCGCATGTTTCTAAATCTTTGAAATAAAAAGCGTAAAACGTTTCTTATGACCACAGTTTATAAATGTTGTGTTTTACTGCGAATAAACCCCGTTAATTAACCAATTATTGACTCAAATAAAAACCCCTGAATTAAATTAATTAAATCTAAGTTAATTAAATAGCAATCACGTGACCATGTGAGGTCAAAGGCGACAATGGCTGATCAGCTCTTCAATTTAATGTTACTAAAAGATACGCGATGCAACCTGATATTTCTGATTTGTGAACGACCAATTCACTGATTTTATCGATATGAAATTGAATATCCAACCTTATATTTTAGAATTGTCAGCATGAAAAAATCTGAAAAATCTGTTAACATTGTAAAAATAGCAGCGACGATATCGAAGGAGACGCGGCAAAGACGAAGAAACTCGCCATCTCAATACAATTTGATTTGTTATCTTATCACATGTGTAAACTTATTTGATCCACAAATTTAATATTGAATAACTTTGTTATTCTTCGATTTAAGCATAACATTAATTCACTTATGTTTTGTAAAGGATGGCGGTCTTGACAAATAAATTTCCGATCACGAAACATTGCCGTAATCGGAGCTGTACTGATGCTAAATGTTTCGAATAAAAAACGAAAATATCCCAAACACTGAAAGAAATGCCTAGTAGAAATAACCACTTTGCCTAGTAATCTTCTTAGCGCGCCTAGTAATCGAAACAATATACTGTCCAACTTGTAAAAGTTACTAGATAAGCAAGCATCCAGGCTGCGCTTAGGGATCATATTACTTCATTAAATATTCCGCGCCCTTTCAAACAAAGGATGTGAAGATAAGACCATCCCAAGACGCCATGTTTACTTCAGAAGGCAGGTTGGAACACTGCTAAGGACGAGGAATCAGTTAAATAATTTGGTGAGTAATATTTTAACCATCAGCATTGCCTATCTAAGCTTTACAAATTTATTTTTTAGTTTTTGTTTTGCTGTCTTGAAGACCCTTTGTTATTTTTTCCTGCCACTGGTTTGAAAATGTTTGCATGCATCTAGTATACCATATGAAGAATTGATATATTATACATTTTTCTCATAATAATACATATTAATCAGAAAAGTGATAGGCAATATAGTTCCGATTTAGTGCACAGTTGTCAATATGTGTAATTAATGAAAGAGGGAATTATTTACAAAATCATTGTGAACTGCAACAGTCAGTAAGCAATCTTGGAATATACATTTGAAGGGTGAGTGATACATATTTGTGTAAATCTTGGAACCTTCAAGTGCATAGTTAGTGAGCTACTGATTTGATATGATTATAATTTCATTATTATTTAGGCTACACTTGTACACTTTAATTATATAACATTAAGCAATGAACATGTCTTTTTTTTAAATCGTAATCTATGTTGACTTATATTTATGAGGTAAACATTCATATACATGTATTGATTCTGAATGGTTTGCGATCTTGGTATATGCATTTGAGGGAATGAGTGAAAGAAACACATTGTGTTTGTGAATCTTGGAGTCCCTAAATGGTAGTGAGTGAGCAACTGTTTCAGATATCAATAATCATAAATTTGACTTTGAACTCATTTAACATGTTTAATTTTTAAAAGTATTTCAAAGTCCAGACTTACAGTTGTTACTACTGCAAGTTTTCTTTAGCTTATATTTCTTATTGTCTTTGATGCAAGGCCCGAAAAAGTTGCATTTATAGTATTTTTTCAATATTAATTTAGATGGTGAAGAATGCCTAGCTTTCTACCAGACTGTCCTTCTTGTTCAAGGAGAGGCCAGAAGGGGGTGCTGAAATTGGACTGTAAATCCTTCTGAGGGAGAAGTTTTTGTTTTCTTTGGGAGAAGATTATTTCAGTGTCCATATTGAAGGAGTAAACGTTACTGGATGTGACATTTCCTTTCAGCCTTATGAAATTTCTACAATGTATGATTTGACCTACATGCGTACCTTGTCCAAAGAAATGGGTAAAAAAAAAAAAAAAAAACCTCTGTGCAACATCTTGGTAGAATAGCAGAGTGATGTTAATTTAGAGAGAAGGATTTTCGGTGTTCTGTCATTGCTATGTTGACATCAGATTTGTAATCTATCCTGTCTGATTGTTAAAATATTGTAAATTTAAAAAAAAATCATAAAAATATTCATGTACACTGTACTGTACACATGCAGAAATTAATTTTATTATTTCTATTTTCTATGACCTATTGTAATTTTCATCTGTTGAAATGGTTTACATATAATTGTAAAAGTGTTTACTGTAGAAGACTTATTATTCATTCAGTTTTTGTCATTGTAAAATAAAACTATAATTTGTGTTAGAGATTTAATCTACTTGTTTTTATTTATTCAATTGTTAAGCTATTTTTAATGCTACTTGTACAACTTGTGAAGTGTTTAGCGTTGTTTAGAGAGTAAACTCTCTCCTAAAAAAATGTATAAATAAAATTAAAATAAAGTATAAATTCCAGAGGGTTTATAACCAGAAACTAACTAAATGTACTTTGAAGAAAGTAAATTTTACTAGTTTTCGCTAGTAAAATATGCCTAAATAACTGGTTGATTTTACTAATCAAATAGTACAAATACTTATCGTCTAGTAAAATTTACTTAACTGAATAGTGGTTATATGGACAGTAAAATTTACTAGTTATTCTAGTAACTTTTACTAACTTTTTCTTTCAGTGAAAGTCTTATACCTTAGAAGTAGTAAATGTTTCTATTGTACATGTAATCAAAAAGCACATTAGGAATTGATTTTTTTCAGTATTTTTCGTAATTAAGCTGCATTTTCTGTTGATAACTCCGTAAATAGTGTGCATATTCTAATCTCTCTGTCACTGAATTGTCGCCTATGACGTCAGTGCTGTATTTCGCAATTGCCGCATTTGAAATTCAACTCTCAATATCGTTTAAAATATGCTTTCAACAACGTTTATTGTATTCAGTGTTTTAATAAAATAGGTTATAGATAATATTTTTCTTAAAAGAACGATTTTTGAAAAATCAAGCAATAACTCGATCTTTAATGTAGGGAACTGAAGTCCAAAGTAACTCGTTTGAATGTATTTGCTCCCATCCATTTAGATGATGTGTCAAGTTTGTGCTTCTGAATGTGTATGATATTTTTTAAAAAAAATTGAACTGTGGACATTGGCTTGATATTTTATAATGTAAAAAATAACATTTTTTTCATTGTTTGCGATCAACCCGGAACAAAAAATTGCAGCTTGAATTTATTTTGTTTATTTTATGCTTACTTTTGCTACATAAATTTGGTAAAGTTTTTTTTTTCCAATTAAAAGAAAACACTGACGAGCTTTAAGGTAAATGAATGTTTGCGGTAAACCTGGAACAGCCATATCATTTATGATGCTTTGCTTCGTACGTTTTTTTTTTTTTTTTTTTTTTTTTTTTTTTTTTTTGAATATTGGGTGTGTCCTCTTTGGTGACCCACGCCTATATATCTATTATGCTACCACCAATAATGCCAAACAACAAATGTTTAGATAGAGATATTACCGATTTTTTTTCCCCTCTATACAGATAAATAAATTGAACGCTTTATATTTGCATGTGAGAAAATCTGACATCTGTTCATCAATACTATGTTGTCTATGTGTTTTTGTTCTTGTCCAGGGAGGGGGTGGGGATGGCGGATACTCTTACATTGAAAATTGAAAAGATAGCTATAGGAAGCCCTAAACACAGCGCAGGGCAGTTCAAATTCCATTGCACATGTAGTTACAGTGAATTGCCCTTTGATGTAAAATGGAATTGACGAAACTCTAGAATCAATGACACAATTCAAAATAGACTAGAGAATCTTAAAATCATATTAGAGCAAGTGCTTTTACAGAAACTAGGTTTACAATAAGATTAAAAGCCGGGCATTATACATATGACTCACCTTAATATTGTAATTTACCTGCATCCGATGCTTCAGTTTGAATGGTAACTTTTGTTTGAAGGGTGGGTTTCGCTAATGTTATTTTCTTGAGAGATGTTCGTTTCTTCGAAATAGAAGAAGGCGTATTTTTTGTGTAAATTGGTTTGGTTTTTGATACAGATGTGGTTGAATGGTTCCTGATTGTTTTCGAAATCTCGATTGATTGGGTGTTTTGAGTCGTTGTTGGAACCTGATAATAAATTTTGAAACTGATACTAATACAATGTATTCAAAGACTTTCTCCTTTTTATATGTTTAAATCATTCACATGCATTTATTTTTTAACAAAAATAATATTAAATATTTAAACACATTTTTTTTTATTATACAACGTTATGACAATTCTCCTCGTTGTAAAGTTCTACAACAAATCGAACCCGTCAATAGCGTTGAAACGCTTTTGTAATTTTTTTTTTTTTTTTTTTTTTTTTTTTTTTTTGTTTGTTTGTATGGGAAACAAGCTTTCAATGGCTTATTCGTAAAATGTTTTTTCGTTCTTTTGTCTGCTTAAGATTTTAGATATATTGAATATTATTTTAACAATCACAAATGAAAACTTACTCTAATATCTCTAACTGAAGGTGATTTGTTTACCGAACTAGTGATGGCAAGGCTTACCTATATTATCATCCAACAGAGCTAAAATCTAACTATTACTATAGTGGATGTGTTGAACAAACTTATTATCAATATACTTTTTTTTTGTAAAAATATGTAGACATTTTGCTTACCTAGTTTCTATCCATATAATCTTACAAATTTCAAAACGAAAAGCAGTAAGTTTGTCTTTAAGCCGCAAACGTTTTGGTAGCTTACTACACGTATTAATTAAAAGACTTGTGTGTTTTTTAGAGTTCTAAAGCTGTATGAAACAAACAATTTTAGGAAAATACAGACGTGTGCCATAATTTAACGGCAAAAATCCAAGATGGCGTCGCTCAAGCGTGAAGCGTAATGTAAACAAGCTCGGTATACATTATATTCTTGGGGAAAACACATATCTATTTTTAGCTCCTGGTTATTCTTACTTCCGTTTTTAAATTCAAACCGGATGTTTGGTTGTCGTCTGCCTCTGGAAATTTTTACATAGTGTATTTAATCATGGCTGAAAACCGTAAACATTTGTCAAATGACATTAAAAATGTCATCGTAGATATGCGAGAAAAGGGATATAAGTTACAACAGATTGCTGATGATTTGAACATTCCCAGAGGAACTGTTACAGGAGTTATCTCTAGTTTTAAACAAAGAGGTGTAGTAGAGAATTTGCCTCAAACTGGACATCCGCGTTTACTGTCAGTGAGGGATAGTCGTTCGCTTGTTCGGCTTGCTAGGACCAACAGGAAAACTCCACTGAAAGAAATTACCACCCAGTTTAATACCTTTAGACCTCGGGAAGTGTCTAAAAGAACTGTCCAAAGATGTCTTTACCGGGAAGGTTACCATAGACGCATAGTAAAAAAGAAAGTCCGTGTGAAAGAGGTGAATCGTAAAAAGCGGTTAGCATGGTGTCGAGGAAAACTTTATTGGCGTGTGAATGGTCAGTGGGACAGAGTAATTTTCTCTGATGAAAGTCAAGTTGTTTTGGGTCAAAACAATAGGTTCTATATATGGCGCCGAAAGGATGAAGCGGAGTCCCCCGATTGTGTCTGCCCCCCGTCCCAACGAAGAATATTCTGTTATGATTTGGGGATGTATAACATATTACGGTGTGGGTACAATTACAACCATAAATGAAACTGTGAATAGACTCAAGTATATAGATATCCTTGAGGACAACGTGTGGCCCGTTATAGCTACACATTTTCCGAACCAAAACTTTTTATTTCAAGACGATAATGCCCCGATCCACCGAGCCCAAGATGTCGAAAATTACAAAGCAAGGAACAATATTAATTGTAACAGCTGGCCTGCACAGTCGCCTGATTTAAATATTATTGAGAATGTGTGGATAAAACTTAAACAGAGACTGCAACATCGTGTGGAAAATATCACTACCCCCGATGAACTTTCCAGGGTTATCGTAGACATATGGCAAAATCTCCCTTTGGAATAAATACAGGGGCTATATAATTCCCTGCCGAGACGCATGAGGAAAGTTTTGAGGGTCAAAGGTGAAATGACAAAATATTAAACATCGGTAAGTTATTTTTTTTTTACTTATTTAATGTTTATTGTTTACATTACGCTTCATGCTTGAGCGACGCCATCTTAAATTTTTGCCGTTAAATTATGGCACACGTCTGTACAATGTATGTCTAAACACAAATTAAATGCGAAAATCTTTGTAAACCATAAATTTTAAATTTTAAATTAAAAAAAATATCTTATCATTATAAGAATCTTTAAAAGTTCAAAGGCACATAAATACATGTAGGCAAAAAACGATTACGTTTAAAGAAAGTAAAAGTTAAAATTTTAGGACACATGAATTTGGTTTGTGAGTTAAACTGAATATGGAAACATCAATTTCATTACACATGGAGTAGAGCTAAAATAAATCTTTGAATAAATTTTGTCAAAGGCCAAGTGAAGATTACATTTACACACTTTCACAGATAAACCAACAGATCTAAGAAAAAAGAATGCTTTGTGCTTTTAGCATTAATGCATAAAAGAATTGTTCTTGATATTCAGAGTAAAAAGGCAATACCCACCCCAATACACCTATATTCTGCGGTTTCTGAACAGTTTTGAACTAGATGACATCCCTTTCTAGAGCATCTTTGACATCTGAGTGGAGTAGCCTGATTTATTTCAACACCTGTTATACAAATAAGCGATATTATTTTCATAAAATTACAGCGTAGATGTAGATGATTTTCATTGCAAATAAAATATAAAAGAAAGGAAAATCATTAATGATTTAATCATACCTTTTTGTAGAGATTATTATTAGCCCTTATTTATTCATTGAAATAGCTTATAAAAAATACAATAATTACAATAACATCCAGGTGGAATTTATTGAGATCTGAGCAATATCCAAAATCGTATTTTCTATAACAAACTTAGATGATTATGAACGTCAGGTGTTAATTAATGAATTAGACTATTAAAATTGCATTTGTGTTTTGTATTCTTAACAAGTTCCCTTCTTCCCTTTCTAAAACATGCTGATATAATGCATTCTTAAACGTCATATCTAATACTAAAATTAAATGTTTAAAGGAAATTGTTTTTTTTTTCACCATATACTTGCCTTTTTTATCAAAACTGAGATAAATTTGAATTGCAATACCAATCCAAGATGGACCAGCATGCTGTCCTCCATAAGCCGCACACGTTTGTGTTACATTTTCTAAGGAGAAGTCACCACGAAGATACGAAGGAGAATCTGAAACTTTACACTTCTCCATTGACTTTTGCCAGGATTGTTTATCAAGGGCCTCGCTTCCTTCGAAAAAAGGACATCAGTTTACATTTATAAAAGTATTATGAAATAAAAATCGAAAACTGCAGCAGAAAAAAAACAAACGCAATGCATAATAAAAGTAGTGACCTCTCTCTCTCTCTTGTTAATTGATAGGCAATTATCATTTTTTTGAATTTTGAAAGTCTGTTGATGACTATATTCATAATAAGTATTGATTAAAGTAGGTTATGTTGAAAAATGTGGTCCCCAAAATGGTTTTCTTTTAAACGTTTTTTTATTTGTCAAACAAGTTTTTAACTGTATTTTTTCTCTCGATATATCCTCTACAAAAAGAGGTTGATTGATTGTATGTTATTTTACGTCCCATTCGAGAATTTTTCACTCATATAGAGACGTCACCATATACCGGTGAAGGGCTTCAAATTTTGACCTTTACTCGGCACTTAGGGCCATTGAGCAGTGAGGGATCTTTATCGTGCCAACGCCTGCCGTGACACGCGGCCTCGGTTTTTAAGGTCTCATCCGAAGGACCCGCAACTTTCACTTCAAAGTGCCGAGCGCGTGGCGAAGGAACAGTTGCTACCAATTTTTTATCGACTTAGGTCAGTCGCGGCCGAGATTCGAACTCACGGCCACTCGATCACGGAGCGAGAGCTCTACCGACTGAGCTACTGTGAACGGTTACAAAAGAGACAATCATTGAATTTCGAAATTACCTTCAAATACACAAAACTGTATTTAAAAGCAGGAAAATTTATAGTGGTAAATTCATTGCAAAACTTTTTCGAAACGAATAAGCAGGCATCGCAGAAAAATACAGTATTTAAGTTTGATATATGTCTATGCAAGCAGAGCATTCTCCAGAATTCATTATTTTTCTATAACATGAGGCGTAAATTTCTAATTCATAGTTTTGAAATCTTAATAAGAGACTATAAATTACAACAATGAAGTATATTGGACTCTTTTTTTTTTTTTTTTTTTTTTTTTTTTTTTTTTTTTTTTTTGGCATTCAGATATCAGGGCCTTAGTAATCGTTAGACATGGACTTATGTGTTAATTGGTAAGCCTTTATGCAATTTGAAAGAGGTCGATCTCAATGTTTACTGAAATTTTTAATTCAGTTCTGAAAATATATACATTTCATGAAAAATATACATTTCATGAAAAACATATTTTTTTGGAGATCTTTAAATTTAGTTTCAGTATTACCATTTCTTTGACAAATCCTGCTATAAAATAAGCTACAGTTGTTTTCATAGAGATATTTGGAATAACCACCACACTGTATCGCCACGCATGTTGTATTTCTAGTTGTATCTGCCTGTTGATTTTCAAATTCAGTTCCTACAGAATGATTGATATTTTAATAATAATGTACATCGTATCTATAAAGATCACAAAATTTATTAATTGGGACACATCTTTCTCTTCACCTGAAATATAAAGGTTGTATGTCCTCTGTCCACCGCATTCATTAAAAGGCAACATCTCCATTTTTTTCTATTTTACCGCAGTCAGAGTTACATTTACCTGGGTTTTGAGATGTGGCACTCGGTATTTTATCTATGCATGCACATGTTGATTTCTACAAAAGATGTGGAGAAATACCAAATACTTAACATAATATGGAATTTGCAGTGTTTTAAAGCGACTCCTTAATATTAGTTTCACTTCAAAGTCATACAGGAAGAGATTGCACTGATGATTTTTTTTTTTTTTTTAAGTTTACTATAAATGAGTACCTGTATTCCAAAGATAATTTTATTTCTTATTGTGCAATATTCCTGACACATTCCCAATGAAAATACGGCTGTCCTTCCATTAATTAAAATGTGATCTTCATTATAGCAACCTAAATAGGAATTCTTTACCTCTTATTTATATATTCATTCAACTAATTTTTAAAAAATGCATACAAAAATTCAAAATTGTTCGTCATATTTTTTCTTCAAAATTTTAGTAATAGATATTGCATTTTCTTTTTGGCTATGTGGTTCTTCATATCCAAATGTCACATAATTGCCTCTTTGATTCAAGATACATGTAGATATATGACGTAGGCATATTAGTAAACAAAGATATTTTTTATGAAATTATCACCACTAAACATTATATCAGCACTGTATACCATTGCGATACCTAATAATTTTATCCACATGGAGTGCCTTTGAAAATAAGCCGTCCAAGAAAATCCATCATTTGACTCATCTATAGCAAAGGCTATGCTTCCTCCCAAGCTTTGACAATGTATGTGAGCGTCATACCAAGATCCACTGAAGTTTTGTCCATAACCTTCTGTGATGAAAATGGATACATCTTGAAGAAATAAAAATAATTAACAAACATTATTATACATGTAAGTCCCTCTACATTCGCGAATAAATAATTTAAAAAATGTTCAACTCATCTTAATAAATTAGTCTAGTTTGATATAAAATAAAGTTCTCAATATTTCTCAAATGGAAAAGATAAGAAAAATAAAAACAACCAGATGTCTGCTTGCTGCTTAGGCAAAAAGTGGTATTCCGACCGACTTTTTGCTGAAAAGATATGCGGCAATGCCTCATTAGAAACATGCCTGAATGTCAATATTTCTTACATGTGTATATGTATTCATGTACCACAGATTTTCCACACACACAAAAAAAGACCATGATTATTACAGTTTCATTTCCAATATAATCCGTAAAAACAAAGCTTTAAAAAGTCGGTGAAGGTACCAAATAGAAATGTTATTTTCAGTCAGAAAAAAGAGAGGAAACGAAAAAAAAAAATTCCTCCAGTTAGAATCGGCTATACCATGTCAACAAAGAAGTCGATTCCCTGCTCATAACGTAACAGTTTTACCTTGTGTATTCCCGGTAACTGTAACTGTATTCTTACATGAAATATAATAAAATGTTGATATTGACCAAATATAACAAACCGAACAAAAAAAAAATATAGATATCGATTTAAGATAAAATGTTATTTTCAGCTGAAGAACGTACAGTACCAACCAGACCCAACCTGACACAAAGCAGTCCCAGAGCAGTCCCGGGGACTGCTTTCTGGGACTGCTAAAGCAGTCCCAGAGCAGTCCCACAGCGGTCTCAGAGCAGTCCCAGCGGTCCCAGAAAGCAGTCCCAGGAGTCTCAGAAAGCAGTCCCAGCAGTCCCAGTGGGCGGGGTTAATTAATTTAATGAGCGGAGCTTACTCAGAAATGAGATTACCAATAAACAATGTAACTATAAAAGGCAGTTGAAATTCATGATCCATTTCTTTCTGAGCAGTATCAATTCTCATGCGACAGTCATTTTTTAACTGTTAAGAAAATCACACTACGCGTATAGAAACAAATAATAAATATTGAACAAAGACGACGTTCACACCTATAAATAACATGAATATTTAAACACAGTTTTGTGGTATATTAATTTTTCACCAAAATAAATCAATTTCTAAATTACTGTGATTGATATTGGTTTCCATATTTATTTATTTATTTTTTTATAGATAATTAAGCTTGAGTTATTTATTTTCTATCAAAACAAGCTTTAAATAGGCCTTATAATTATAGAGCAAGGCCGATTTCCATACTATACTCTGAATGCAGTTTTCTTAAGTATACTGGAGCTTTTGAAAAATTCTTTGTGTATTATATTTCAGTCATGATTATTTTCACTGACTTGCCAATTTAACTATCGTTAAATTATCTATGTAACAGAAAACAATAATACTTTTATTATATAAACGTTTGAGTGTACATCTGTAAATCACGCGAATGGAACCCTCAGATTATGTTCAAAATTAATTAATCCCGAAATAAATTTATACACATTTATTGAAACAAAGATTTTTTGCAGTACATAGATTGAAATTAGTGTCATTGTTGACCAGCATGTTCAGTGATGCGTAACACTGATACCCAAATAACATGCATTGACTTTCTGCTAATCATGCCCGAAGGCGATTGAAACTTCAGGTGTTGACATCATTTTATACATTTGCGTTGCTTTTTATTAATCGGCCAGGAAAACACAAACAAAACAAATAAGACATACGTGTAAGTCACAATTCCCAATATTTTAAAATGTTTATAAATTTACTCTTTTAATTACTTGTTTATAAATCAAAAACAAATTCATAAATAAATCCCACAATAATTGTTCACAAATATAATGTTTTAAATGACTGAAGAATGATAGAATAATTTTATTTCATGGTAATTTAATAAATTATTAGGTTTTATTTGAGGGCGGTAAAAAATAGCATGGAATGCTCTTTTTTTAGCATGCATATGGTTTTAGCTTTTTCAATTTAAAAAAAAAAATCCAGTACAGTACGTCCCTCTGAATGTGTTATTGTAATGACAAGTTTGTTTTTTTTTTTTTGTTTGTTTTTAAATAGTGCTAATGCAAACTTTGAGTGCATTCCGTAACTTGACAGCATTAATTAATTAAATAGGCCTCGATATTATTTT